TGTCATACTATTGCATTGCTCATTGCCTGTGCCCCACTTGGCTGTTAAACAACCCGTCCTGCTGCATTGTTGCTTCATCGCCAACATAATACAACTGGGCTGTAACTGGCAGTAAGACTGGTCCAGGAGCTTTAGTTGAGTCATGCATCACTGAGATTCAGACAGTGCTAATTAGAGCTGCGATACCTCTGAGGTATAGACCAAAATAACCCAGTACCAAGTAGTATTGTAGCTTCTCCAGTCAGATGATACCTGCCTTCGATCCTTTTTGTACCCAGTTTTATAAGATATTTGCATGGTTTTGCTTAAACCCAGTCACTGCAAGCATTCACTAATTTGCAACATGTGATTGGCCCACTGCTGCAGCATATACAACCCATACATCAGTTTGTGTGGTGAAGTCAAGAATGGTGTATTTGACATAAGTTTTTTTTGTAAAGTTATTAAATAATTATTTTAATCATTTGAATGCATTCAGAATGTTTCTGTGTAAGAATATTTTGCATGGGGAAGAGAAAAAAAGGTATCAAATGAAGTACTCTGTTGGTATTGGTGTCACTTTAACATTGGTACTGGTACTGTAACTTCTAGACGGTACTCAGCCCTAGTACTGATTCAGTTCAATTCAATTCAATTCAATTCAATTCAATTCAATTCAGTTTAATTTATAAAGCCCAATATCACCAATCCCAATTTGCCTCAGAGGGCTTTACAGCATATGACATTCATCGTCCTTTGGACCCTCGCAGCGGATAAGGAAAAACTCCCCCCGAAAAACCTTTAACAGGGAAAAAAATTCATTGGTTGCATGCATATTGAACCGCTGACCCACTTTTTGGATAGCTGCCAAGCAGGAAATGCATAAATGTTTTCCTGGTTACACAGGGTTCTACTCATTACATTATGTTCACTTTAACTCCTTCACTGGATTTCCCTGTGTAACTTTATATTCATTATTTTTATTACTTTGATTTAATTATGTCTTTCATTTGATCATTTATAATTATGTGTTTCCTCAAGCCCTTTTAGTACCATACTTAAGGTGTAGACCAACACACCCTTATGTGACATTACTACACTGCAGTATTAGCCATCAAATCCATCATCTCACACACCTCCTGTCGTTGCAATCCTGATGTAAATTCAGTGTTGTTAGAAGAAAGACGCTGGAATGTAAAGCCACTGATGTGTGCAAACAGACCACTGCAATGTTCTGGTTGCGGCACATTTTTAGGTGTGGTGAGGGATTTGTAGAAATGCATAAATCATTTCTTGTCCTTCTCATTAAAGGCTTGGTTTGAGCTTGAACTTTGGATACCTTTCCTCCTCAAAGACTCTATTCAAGTACAACAGTTAAGGCTGTTTAGTCTTTCATGTTTGTTAAGACGTCTAGCACTCCCATTCTACTGATATATTGACTCCTATTCTGTCATCAGACGTAAGCTCAGTTTAATCTGTGAAAAAAAAAACATGCATACGTAAGGACAGTTTAAGGTGCTAAATAAAGACAAGAATGAACGCATAGAAAGTCAGCATGAAAGAATCTGAATCTGGAACCTGAACTCAGAAGAATTGAAAAAAGTCTTATAAAGCCCAGTTCAGACCAAAGACTGGGAATGAGACAAACCCGTTTTAGAACTTTGAGCTTGCCTTGAGCTGACTGATGCGGTCACCTGCAACTCAACTGGTCAAATCGCCAGCGGCTGGTTCCAGAACATAATGTACGTCACCTGTTTCAAAAGCCAGTCGGCTCATAGTAAGTCTACTGGTGAAGTCAAAATGACCACAGATGGTGTGTTCACTTGCTACGGCAGGTGCTCTGTCCCAGCTGAGCTCTCTGTTTTTGTACTCACGGTGTGCCGGCGTTGGACGGCAGGTCACTGCTGCTGCTCGCTGTATGTGCTTATACCCCTCACACACCTCACCTTTATTTATATTACTGTGTGATATTTATTATGAATACAGTCCATCTGTGCTCATTCTGTTCATGTTTTTCGCCATTTCATCACTACTACAAATGCAACTGTCGTCAGTATCTCACTATCACTATCCTTATTCATAGTTTAAAAAGCTACAAATTATATTCAGCCACAAAATGAGCCTGAAAAGCTGCAAAGCAGTACAGAGAGTTGTTGCACTGAGATGATACACCATCTCATCTAGTTGCATTGGCGTAAGCCAGCAGGTTTTTGAGAATGTTGCAGATTTGCAACTTTCCAAGTAGTTGCCCGTTTCATCTTGTCTCGCCACAAATCTTTGGTCTGAGGTGGGCTTAAATAGACACAGGACTAATCATTTATGAGATTTATGCTACATTATAATCGTATTATGATGCAGTTAAAATAACAGATTCATTTCAAAAGTAGCACTGTAACTACATTAAATGCAACTTGATTTTCAGTTGATAGACGTTAATAAAAAAACATTTACTGGTATGGTTCTTGAAATGCAAGATAACACAATTCAAATCAGACTTCCCAGCACAATGTGTGACTCAGTAGTATTACTGCATCTGATTGTGTAATCACACATCACTTGAAACTCCAGTATTTCATGTGACCTTATCTAGAGACTGGATGTTGCAACATCACGGTAGTGGACAGTTTCACTGTTAAATAAATACAGAAATGATAATGTACTTTATGGTTGCTAAACACCAGTGCATTATCAGAATTTGGTCAGACTGTCAGATATTTATGGAAGAGACAACGAATACAACTGAGTGATTATGACAACAACTATGTATTTCTGTTTACTGTAGAGACAAGAGAATACATTTCTGAACCAGAATATACAGGAGAACTTTTGCAGAGGGAGACTGAACAGGCCGAAAGAGAGAGAGATGTATAGAAATATGGCAGTTCTACGGTAGAGAAAATGTACTGCATTAAGTAAAGCGAAAAAAATATTCACCTGACCTCCAAGCCACAGCAGTACATAGCCTAGCTTCTTTGGCGCTACTCCTGTCTGCTTATCCAAACTGTGAGAAAGCCAACTGATGTCTGCTGTAGATAATACACTGTCTATGGATAAGTACCTAATACAGCCCCTCCACCAAAAATGCAAACTACCCCTTCAATAGCTTTGAACCAAATGTTTCATTTGCTAAATGTTTGCCAGGACAAAATGTGTAACTGTAGGTCTAATGTTTGTATGACCGCAGAAGAAGCATTCACCAGCTGTCTGCTGTCTGCTGATGTACTAGGTTTACAGTCTAGGGGCTGTAAATCAAAGTCAAAATGCAAAAGCCAGAAAATCAACGTGGTAGGATGAAAAGGTCTCTCAGTAAGAGACAGTGATGGCCAAATGAAACCTCATGAAGCGTTTTCTTTATTTTATGAGCCCACTAGATGGCACTCTTGGTTTAAAAAGGGAGGCTCAAAGAATGGCAATTCAATGTGCTTTTAACCTCTTGTTGAAAAAAAAAAAAGCGCCAACTAGTGGGCTCATAAAATAAAGAAAATGCTTCATGAGGCTTCATTTGGCCATCACTAGTAAGAGAAAAGAGGAGCCTGTTGATTATTATTTTTTAACGTACCAGCCAGGATATAAGATAAGAAAGGAAACCCTGGCAGCAGTTGAGCTCATTTTGATGGCAGGAAGGAAGAAGATGCTGATGTGAGGCAGGTAATAATTAGGGGTGGGGGGAAAATCGATCACAATATTTTGTGTGGCAATATGGTATCAATACACAGACACCAAATATCTATCTTTTATGATATACAATATTAATTTTTGCGAATACACATTTTGATACAATGTTTGTTACTAGAATAATAAGATCAATTGCTTTTCCTGGTGAGGTCAGTAGAGGTCTCAGTCAGCGGCATTTGGTAGGAAGTTCATCAAGACAAAGATGGAGGCATTGGAGATAAAAAATAAATAAATAAATAAATAAATAAAAAAATCAGAAATGTGTCGCATTTAAATCAAACGTCTGGACTTATTTTGGATTTTTTAACACGGAAGGAAAGGAGGACTTGGATATGACACATCCAACTTGCAAGCAGTGTCACATGAAAATAAAATACTCGGGGAATACCACGAACATGAGGGCTCAAATCATATTCCAACATCCAGAGATAGCATTAGCCGCTGACAGCCAAGCTAACGCTAAACCTGCTCTGCCACAAAATAACACAGTCCGTCACCTACAGAGGACTGGTGACTGTCTCACGTTCTCCAAACTAGTGCAGTACAAAAAAATCGGGGGGGGGGCTGTGGTTGTAACAGACATCGCTCCTAACATGGGTGTTGCCAGTCAGTTAGCGGGATACCTGCATGTGAAGTGTTCTGCTCACATGCTTAATCTGACCTTGCAGAGGGCATTAAACCCGCCAACAGTTCAGTTTGTCAGGTATGCAGCATTTCTGACAGGTTTTATGATGGTGTTGGTCAGTCTGTCTGCTTTGCATCACATTCTGCTGCAATAATATGATTAAAGTCAGATGAACAGACTAAAAACTTTAGGAAAAACTGATGTTGGGGAAGTTTTCCTGCAGGGAAATAATTTGCAGCTGGAAAAAAACGTAATAAGTTGCAATATATCGTAATATATTATATCGCAATGTCAGCATATTGCAATACCGCAATGATATTGTATCATGACCTAAGTATCGTGATGATATGGTAACATAATATGGTAATTGAGTGAGACTGAGAAAAAAATAACTGAGAAAGGAAGAAATCTGTGATAGTGACAGAGTAAATGCTGAGAGAATAACATTGGAGGAAGATGGAGTCCTTAGAAGAAGCAATATAGCGGTTGTCAGGTCGATCTTATCGCTGCCAAATTCTGGAATGTGGACATGTTTCAGGTTAGCAAAGAAAGCACAGGGCATTTGTAGAAAAGAGGAGGCATGTGAAGAGGGGGAGAGAAGTAAAGGAAAAGGGAGACAAGACATGAGAGGAGACAGGTTGAGGAGGAAGGATAGGAAGGGGGAAAGTGTACAGTAGGTAATGAGAAAGGGAGAGATTAAGAGTGGCAGTTGTGTACTTACTACAGAGGTTGTCGTCCGGTGCACACACAACATCGGCCGTGGAGTTGGATGACATGCTGGAGAGACAGAGAGGAACACAGATAGATCATCAGTCAGAGGAAGAGATCAACATTACCTCTGCTCAGCAGCCACTCTAAATCCTCTAAGCTTAGACAGAATGATGCAGTATCTGCTTCTAATAACTCTATACACAGTATCGCTAGGTGAAGTAGCTTGTTAAGATTTTCACTGAGCTTTAAGAGCTATCTGTGAAGTTCAGTAAAAAGCAGAGCACACACCCAGAGGGATATCGACTATTAGTGATCAACTTGAAGAACATTTTAGAAAATGTAAATATTAACTGTGGCATTTTTTTCATCTATACTTACACCACAAATATTACCTGTGACCTTTATTATCTGGACTGGCACAGCAAATATAAAGAGGAGTGCTCGATGACTTGTTTTCTCAGCGTATAGTTACCCAGCTATCAGTTACACAGATAATAGAGGAGCAGAGATCAGCATTACCGTCGCTCAGCTGTGACCCAAAATCCATAAAAGCCTTGAAAGGATAACCTGGCATTCAGCAGCCCATTAAACTTCTCAGATCACACACATGATATACCAGATGTATTTTATCTTAACATTTCCCTGGAACTGTTAAGGTCTCACATAAGTAGTGTTATATTTACCGTATAGTAGATCATCATTTTGTTTAAATGACATCCTCTCTGTAAGGAGTAGCTAATCAGTTGGTTGTTGGGGGAATTTAGAGTTCAGGGTTTTTTCATACTTGTATTTATTGGGTGGCACCCCACTTCAATAAAGATGCAAAGTCCCCTCCTTTCTGGTGGACCACCATGGCACCTCAAAAATAACTACGATGATTTTGCATGTCACAAAGGTCAAAGCTAGTCAGAAAATTGTTTATAAGGCTGAAAATACATAATTACAAGGACCACCTAAGTCTTATAGGTGATGTCATAGCTTTCTCTGTTGCTGAACCTATGATGCCTGTGTTTCGCACAAGGATATACTCACACGAGCAATAGTTCTTCCTCTTTTTTCACTTCCTGTCTGATAAAAAGAACAGGAGTCACTGAACAAACACCTCAGGTAAAATAACATTACTTCAGTCAGGATCACTTTGGTCAAAGAAAATCTTATTTCCACTTGCAGTATTATATTTGGTGGCATGGCTCTGTTCTGGGGCCTCTCTGCTTTTCCTAGGCCTAAGCAGAAAGACTGAGGCAGAGAGAGCAAATCTCCCTGCCCTTCCATGCACCTACATGGAAAGCCTAAGGCAGGAAGAGCAGCAGCGAAGACCCCCCGGGAACAGAACAAAGCACCCATCAATTATAGACATAAATGACATTGATAAGTCAGACACAACATGAAAAGGTGGAGGCGGGTTGCAAAGTGGCTTGCAGAGGAAGCAGCAACAGTAGGCAGGCCAGAGCAGTTTAAATAGGGCGCCCTGAATGAGATTTGCCAACTGATTGCATAGAAAGGAATCATGTGATCAATCAGCTGCTCCATCAGTTGATTGGTTGTTTGAGATCAGCTAATGTAGCTGGGGTGTGAGCTGAGCTTGACATCGTGTCCTGCCTGAACTAACGCTATGCTCAATATTTGTGCATGGAGCAAGTCTAGGTCACCTGACTAGCTGGTGTAGGTGACATACCGTAAAACTTGGTGTATAAGTCGCACTTTTTTTCCCTTTTTTTCATCTAAAAAGTTGGGTGCGGGTTATAGACCGGTGCGACCTATAGACCAAGGTAAATGCTGACATAGGTAATTTGACCCACAAGACGGCGCTAAGTTAGGCTCACCAAACGTCCTCTTTTGCCCGGACATGTCCACTTTTCACGTCCCGTCCGGGGCGTCCAGGGGTCTTTTATAAACTGATGATAATGTCCAGTTTTCCGTGTGTTTGTGTGTGTGTGTGTGTAAGTGTGTGGCACGGGCAGCATATTTCTGTCTGAACCCGGACTGAGCCCGACATTATTTAATGACCAAAGCACTGAGTTTGTGTCACACAGTGGTTACAGGCTATTTAACAGGCCGGGCGTGCGCCGTGGGTGCTCAGCTGCTGAGAGGCAGACCTCCGTGTTTGAGACGGGAGTGGGAGGCGGGAGGTCCGACGCTTCTAGCGAGAGGAGAGGGAGAAATAAAACAACACTACATTTTCATTTCATTTTGAAAGCTGACCGATGTTGTTATACCGTAATTTTATTTCCTGAAGAGGTTGTTTGGAAAATTGCAATCTGAAAAGTAACCAAAGCTGCTTAAGAGGTTATTGTGTTTTGAATGTTTCAAATTAAAAATAAAGGGAAACAGTGTAGGAATAACTTGTATAACGTTTTTATTAACGAATAGTAATATAAAACCTTGTTTTCCCTGTTTGAGACCTTAAAAAATAGACTGCGACTTATATGCCAGTGGGACTTATATTCCGAGTTTTATAGTATATTGTGCGAGATGAGAGATGTCATTCATTGAGCAGTATCACACAAAACTAAAACATACTACAACAAATTTTCTTGACTTGCAAAATTATCTTTTGAATTGACAAACATATGTGTATTTCATGGCACAATTTAAAAGGGATCAAAAATTATTGTGCATGTTTTTTCCAAAATAAGGTCCCATGGAGGACACTGAAAGGGGTGGGACTTCACGTTTCTTTATCAACATTGCCTGCTACATATTGATTTTCTAGTTTTAAAGGTGCCCCCACACACGCCTACCCCCTTACAAAAACATTGACAACGGACCTGACTGCATCTATTTTTTTTTCTACCTACTGTAGATGAAACCGGCCGCATTTTCATAGACACTGCGTTCAGGCAGGTAGTCTCGAAATACGACAGCTACAATAGCTTGGGAAATAGCAATATGGGGCACTGAATTTGAATAAGTTACTGTTTGGCAGACCATAAATGAGACTAGAATTAGCAGTGCTGTCACTTTACCCAAAAATTAAGATTGAGGAAATTGAAATGACAAGCAATTTGTTCGAATGAATGGGAGTCCAAAATAGAGTGAACTGGGACTGTCTCATAACCATGTGTGGCCAGGGATGTATATCAGTAAGTGCGAGAATTAACTATGTTCAAGCCAACAGTCAAATTTTCAATGCGATATTTCAATGCTATATTTCTAAAGTTTCGACAAAGTACAATTGCGACTTGCAGGTGTTTCCATTAAAAGGTGTTTTGTTGCTGAGCCGTAATTCTCGTAAAATCTCGTCCTCCGAGACTCCACTTTGTTTGCGGAAGTAAGATGGACATTCCTAATCTCTTGCAAGCTGAAACAATCATCTCGGTTGCCACTGCTGCTGTTGTAGTAGTCTACGACCGAAGACGAAGAGAGCGAGTGGTATTCCAAAGGCAAAGTCCTTGTGTGTGGCAGTGACCATGGATAAAAGATTTCTGGGAGAGGATTGTGAACGAGGAATTCACAGAGGACTTGAATGTCCGGTGACGTATTTGCGGAAACAGTGTTTCCATTACACTTTTGCAATATACTTTGATATCGACACATCTAAAAAAAACTTCCTCATGAGAGCGTAAAAACTTTTTCTCGATATTTGAGAGTTTTTTCGAAATGTAGGTGTTTCCATTACCAGTTTTTTTATTGCGATATTTAGGTTTTGCGCATTTCTAGGGTTAATGGAGACGCACTTTGTGACAGCGCTTTAAGCTAGCACACTCTGTGGTCCCTCTGCCAGTGCCAGCGCTGGGTGTAACCTGTGCAACAGCAGTAACAGAAAGTTTGCTAATCCGGGGCAACACCCCATCCATCAGCTACCAGCAGAAATACAATCTGATGCTGCGGGAAACACAGGAATATATACTGAATGGCAAGGTTTCTGTGTGTAGTTGTATGCAAATTTCCTCTGAGCACATTTGTCTTTACATCTGACCTTGTGCCTCTGTTTTTTTTCAAACAAACATGTTCTACACAACTCGTCGATCCTATATTCAAATCAGGAGGTTAAAAGGAAGGACACACACTTCTGCATCCGGGATGCCCTGGAAACCACTTTGAACAAGTAGTGGCATGTCTAGGCCTACTGTTGTCCTCCTGTCCATCTGATTTGTTTAACAAATGTAGCCAAGGGTGAGATCCGTCTGTCTGTCCGCCTGGTGGAATCAAAATACTGCCTGCCTGAGATTCAGGCATACACTGTCAGGATCAGCCTCCTCCCTCGCCTAATCTGTCACTCACTGTACTCAAGCACTCAGATAGTCCTTATACACAGCTGATGAAGAAAGAGAAATAAGGCCAAGCTAACAGATAATCAACGAATGTTTAATGTGCAAAGGTTATCAACCTGGGCAAATATTAATGTACTCTGAAACATTAAGTAAGAGAGTCAACATGGTTAAACCACAGATTAGAGAGACGGACAGCTTCTTCATTAAAATCACTTTGCTCTCTTCCTTTGGTTTAAATATACATAATTGAATTCTGACTGACCATCGAACAACACTGTTTCAGGTTTAATCATTATTGTACAGCAACAGATTCAAATTGATGATTTTTGATGATGACTGTTGTTACGTGGTCACCTAGTGAACTATGCAGCTATTTAACATCTATTGAAATCACTAAAATGAGTTTTATGCTTCAAAGAAATACTGCAGAGCACTTAGTGTACATTACTGCATTAGCTAATTTATTTGTGTTGCAAAGTATTAGATGAACATTTGCCTTTGGCTATGAGCAGCTTATATGTTGTCAGTCAAGTAATACTTAAGAAATCGTTCTCATGCCTACCTTGTCCTTTTCTGTCATCTGAAGAACTGTTTCACCAACACATGTAATGTACACTACAGGCCGTTGTTGTGATGTCATGGTATTATTATCAATACTGCAAAGACACTTGCTCATGACACATACCAGCAAGTACAAAGTGTGTTTGTTCCATGTGGTAATACTGCAGCGTCATCCTCACAAAGCACTGAAAAGTCTTATTATAGAATGTACTCTCGGTGTGACACATACACATTGCCTTACGAAGTCACACTGGTATGTTGTACATTTTTTAAGACAAAACACAGACTTTAGCCTTTAGAAAGGATGGATGTCACTGAACCTGTTTGTCTGCATTGTTCTCCCACATTCTCATATGTTAATGACACTCCCGTATCAACACACACCTGCAGGCACAACAAAAGACTGGGCCATCCCACAAAACACACACACACACACACACACACACACACACACACATGCACGCACACCACAAGAGCAGACACTTGAAATATGCTGATAAAGACACATAGACGTGTAAATACACACAAGTAAAATGATCAGTGTCTGAACTTTTTGACTCACCAGCTAAGGGGACTGGTAGATGAAAAAATCCACTGTCCAAGTATTTTTTTTACCAGCCAAAATGACACATTGCCTTATTATGTCACATATACTTTTGTGCCAGCAGATTTCATTGGTAGTAAGGTATTATGTTGAATGTAAACTTAAAGAAGAGGTGAATAAGTTCTCTCTGTATATGCCTCTTGCTTTTATTTGTGAAAGGTAAGAACAGAAGGATTAAGCTGTAATGTGCTGCTGTAGACTGTGGCAGGTTGACTTCTTATTACCATCATAAGTATAGGTGCAACTCTCAGCTACACCTAAGCATAATGGAAGCTGGCAGCAGACCAGCTGCAAGTAATATTTCAGCAGATCAGCTGATGCACAGTCCTGTAAACAGTGAGACAATCAGCCCACAGCACTGTTCAGACATGCGTAAAAACACATGTAGTGTGTGCATGTGTGTGAATGAAACACTGACACTGACAGCAGAAGAGCAACAGAGCAGCACGCCCCCTAAATGAGACTCGGCATAGTTTTTTCTTACACAACAGTTTTGGTACAAACGTTTACCTGCCAGTGTGACAGGTAGCCCTCTGAAATTGTACTCACTCAATCAAAAATCTGCCTGCATTTGGCGCTTGGCAGTTGTTCATTATGGACCCTGAGTATGGAGGGTCAGAACACACATGCAAATATCTCATAGGATGATACCATAAACATTAAAGTTATACTGTTAAACCGTCTACTCACACAGCACTGTATGTGGATGTTCACACAGTTTTTTACACACAAAATAAGTGATATCAGTCACATATTTTTTGTCATCTTACCTGGCCATCTTTGTGGGACTGCAAAGGTATCAAACTCTTTGTGCTCCTCTTATCCAAAACATGTAGTCCGCTGTCCCTGTGAGCCATACAAATGTAGAGCTGTAAGAAAAATTCAAGTCCGCCCTCTCAGTTTTCATGTTTTCGCAGTTGGCCTGCAATAAATCGTGAAATCCATAGGCAGACACATTTCCAGTGAAGACACTGGTGACGTTGGAACCTCTGTTTCTACTTTGCTGTCACCAGCATGGTGTGTTTTCTGACTTGTGTCTCTCCTTTCTCCCTCCTCCCTCTCTCTTTTCCTCTCTCAGGTTGGCCACACCCACCTCTCCAACACATTTTCCTTTCCACCCTTATCACCTGCACACACCTTGCACTCAGTATCACATTTGTGATGTACATGTACTTGTGTGTTCACGGTTCAAGTGTATTTGTGTGTGCGCTGAGTTTCCAGACAGCTGGCTGCATATGTCAACTTGACAGACTTGGGGTTACTAGGTGGAGGGGCAACACGATGTATTCTGTCACCTGTGATATGTTGTATCCAGTAATAGTCGAGCTGAAATATCAGAGTTTCTATCCAAACAAGTAAACATACAGGCATTTATAATATGACATTGACTAAAAGAGCTCGGGAATGGGCAACTTAGAAAGAACTTCACTGATGTAACAAAAGGGAAAATGTTAATAAAATCGTGAAGAAAAAATAAAACTTGTCCGCTTGCTCCTTTTTGTTTTCTTAGTGTGAATAAATCAGGAGATTGTCCAAAATATGAGGCTGAGAGCTTGAAGTTTCTGTGCATCTATTTAAATTAAACAAAGTATATTTTAAAATGACTTTTGTCCCTCAGACACTTTTTGTTATTCATTAGAGACTCAAGAAACTGGCAATATGTAGTCTGAAATCACAGTAGTTGCTCAATATATAGTTGCTAAATGAAACAGGACATAGGTCGGTGGTTTGATTAACAGTGATTACGTCCTTGCCTCAAAGAGAGTTTTTAAAAGCGTATAGTCTAGATCCTGGAGATAAAAAATACAAAGTAGATAAATGAGTATTAAAGCTTCTATTGTGTTGCAACATTGAGACAGTTTTTATTTACCGTGTTCAGCTAGCAAGTTATTAAAGAAACCGGCTTCAATGTACTTTTATTTGAGCTGGAAGGCGTGACACTGGCTCTGGTGCGTGTGTGTGTGTGTGTGTGTGAGGTCAAAGCAGGTGTGATGACACAGCCAGACACTTACAGCATGCTAGTGGTCAGGTTTCACCATAATCACAGTATCACTGTATCGTTGATCAAACTCTCATGGATCTAAAACTAAAATATTTTCACAAGGTTTTACATTTGAGTTGGCAGAAATCTGGAAAAGAATTTGAAATGCCATTCTCCTGCAATTTGCCTCTCTCTGCCCTAAGCCCCTCCCACCAGACAATCCATGGGCGAATGCACGCGCTTCATACAGTAACCGTGTGTTTTCCATACATTGATTTGTTTAATGTTATTTCACTGTAGAGTTGCACACAGCACACTCACTCAGCCCCTCCTTGCACTGCTCTCCTTCTCTGATTATCAGACCACAAACAGACAAGAATTAGCTAGCTAGCCAACCCAACCATCCCTTTACATTGCTCCCTGCTGCTGCTTCCCTAGGAGGTGAGCAAGCAGCAGCTCAGGAGAAAGACCTTCGATTTGTGGCCAGCATAAACCTCCCATTTGCCAGAGGACACAGTTAGCTGGTGGCCAGTGGCAGCGCTGGGTCTAACCTGTTAGCTGATCCAACAGGGAGTCGACTGTTGGACTGTCTGGTCCCTCAGAGCTGGGGTTTGCGCTGGCTGGATTCAGGTTGCTGTGGCCGCTAAGAGGGGGTCTGTCTCTGGAGCTGCTGCCCGGTCTAAAGCGGCGGGGAGTGAGGTGGAGGACACACTGGTCAGTGTCTGGCTGATCTACTCCCACAAATAGTCTTTGTTGTGATTGTTCCTGACTGACATATCAATACAGCATGTGATAGACAGTAATGGACGACACTAGTGCGCTTTTTGAGTAGAAGCGCTCAATTTACACTCTGAAAAAAAGATGCCAGAGACAGTGCCTTTTTTGTAGGCGGGCTGCATACGCTCTCTACTTATTGGGAAAAACTGAAACAGACCCTGCCACTCAAAAAAACTCACCATGTGGTAGGGATGTGCCATATCATATCATTCACGCTAATGCAAGTATAACTTTTAATATGATATGAAAAAATTCACATTGTGATACTCGCAATATTTCAACTTGTTGACATATTGATGTCATACTGTTACCCATGGCAACAACAAACATGGCTGAAAGCAAAATTATTACTGACTCTGCGGTGGTTCCAGAAAGAGGACCAGCTTCAGCAGTGGGGAATAAACTGTGGCATCGTTAGGCCTGGGCATCATGAATGTTTATGAAGAGCCCTGGACTTCTCAGAGTCTTGTAGCGAGTTACCATTCAAAGGGAACTCATTCAGCGGCTCCTCTGGCAGCAGCACAGCATCTCTCCCTCTCCTCTTTGTTTGCACAGTCAGACAGTGTCATTTTGTCATAAACCTATGGTAATGTAAACATAGGTGACAATCACAAACTGAAGAAATGAGAGATATTTTTTTGTTTTGTTTTTACTGAATATTTGAAGGCAAACTGTAAAACTTTATCACTTATTGTGTTGCAATTCTATTATCTTAAATCAGTAA